AAAAAAAAAAAAAAAAAAAAAAAAATATTTTTTTTTTTTTATTTCTTTAACGAAATGTTTTACTAACATTTCGATTTTCTCTTTTCTTTTTTTAGACGGTCAGTCCTTGGGCGCGTATTATTTTGGTAGGGCTTTTTGAAAAAAAATCTTTTTCTTTAATTTCTTTCTTTTTAATGAAACGTTTTGCTAACGTTTCGTTTTTCTCTTCTTTTATCTTAGACAGCAAGCACTTCAGGATCTTTGGATACGCGGAACTTCACTTTCGGTAAGTTTTTTCTCTGTTTTAGTCTATTTATTTTAACAAAACGCATTTTAACATTCAATTTTATTCTTGTTATTTAGATAGGGCTAAACGTTTCGTTCTTTCTTTTGGAGATTTTATTAAAATGAATTTAAATTATAGTTATAAAAATGACCGAGGAAGTAATCATGAAATTACAGATTTTGAAAAACAGTAAGTGAAAACAACAGTTCCGTATTCTCTTTTGACGGCAAAATGAGAACCAGAAGTGGAATTTGGTAGTGAGCTAACCTTTATGATTTTTTTTTTACGCTTCTTTTCAGTACTAATATTTCATGTTCCTCTTTTTTTAGATGGCTGATACTTCGAATTTCTTTAGACATGCGAGAATTTGGTGGGTGGGTTTTTCTTTGAGACAGTTAAGTTTCAAAAAAAAAAAAATTTTTGAACTTTAAAAAAAAAACATTTTTTGTGGGAACTTTGGTTCCAAATCGGACATGGCAGAATCAGGTAAGTTCTTAAAAATTATTTAAAGACCTTAAAAACATTTTATTGACGTTTTTTCTATTATATAGGTCCTGGATCATATTTTTAGTGTTTCAAAATTTTTGAAACTTTCCTTTTGTAGATTTGAATGGACTAAACCATCAGAAGAGATAAAGTAAGTTTCATCATGAACTTTGCTTCTTTTAATTTTTTAATAAAAGAAACGTATTGTTAATGTTTCTCTATTTTTTTTTTGTAAGATTCGAATTCTGACCATGGAAGATTAAGTTTACGTATGTATCATTACAAAACTTAGTTTTATTTTATTTTTCTTTTAACTTTGATATTTTAACGAAGTCTTACATCATTTGCTTCTTTTTTTAGACGGCTAGTTTTTTAGATCTTTGAAGTTTTGACATGTAAAATTCATGTTAATTTAGTGGGATTCTATTCTTATTGTAAATTATTCTTTAATTGTTTCTCTCCTTTTTAGATGGATTGTTCTTCGAGTATTTGTAAGAGTAATTCGTTATATCATTCTCCGGAAATCTCAGTGCATGGAATTCGGTAGATGATCTTTTCTTTGAACTATTTTTCTAACGGAATGTCTATTAACATTTCGTTTTACTTTTCTAGTCGGGTATAGATGTGTGAAATTAGTTGGATTATTTCTTTTATTAGGCAGCCAGTTTTTCGGGTCTCTCTGACTCTTTTTGAACATGTTGGTTTTTGGATTTCGGTAAGTGTATTTTTTTCATTAGTTTGTTTATATTAATGAATGTTACTTCATTCTTTTTTTTTCAGGAAATTTTTTTCGTTTCTTTTTAATAGTATTCGCATCTACACCAAAAAAACAAAGAATGGTAAAAAAATGAACACTTATAAGGATGTAAAGTAGTTGTATAAAGAAAATGAAAATAAAAGAGAAAAGAAACTTGATTGCAAGGAAAGAGAGAAGAGTAATTAAATGAGGATAGAGGAGGATTGACATCTTACGTGTGATGAACCATAGAATTAATTTTTAGATAATATTACATTAAATAAGTAAATTATAATGTATTTTATAATTAAATTTTACAATATATTTTCAATAAATATTACAATAAATTTTACAGTATATTTTTCAATAAATTTTATAATATATTTTACAATAATTTGCTACAATTTATATTAAATATACATGTTAATAAATTAATGTTACAATAAATTTTATACTAACTATTGTACAATGTCCCTACAAGACCAATAACGAGTATCTTAACATGGTTTGTATATAATATACTGTAATATTAATTTTACAATGTATTTTAGAAATTTTAGGTTGTTAGCAAAGTTTATCAAGGATACGATTTATAATGCAAAAAATAATTATTTTTATAATGGCAAATTTTATCCAAAATTTCTTGAATGGGTACCATTTGATAGATTTGAGGATATAAACCAAATTGGTGAAGGTGGGTTTGCTAAAGTATATTCCGCAACATGGATTGATGGCAAAACGAAATATAAAAGACATGACGGAAGTTTGGAAAAAAGAGAACCTGAACCTATAAAAGTTGCTTTGAAAAAATTGAATGAATCACAAAATATTTCACCAGAATATTTAAATGAAGTATATTTCCACTTTTTTTATTGTTATCTAATTTTAAAATATAATTATTAATTACAATTATTGATTTTTAAATTTTCATAGATTAAAATACTTTGGAATTTTTACTTAAATGAAACTAGTGATACTTATTTAAAATTTTATGGAATAACTAAAGATGACAAAACTAAAAAGTTTATGATGATTATGCAGTTAGTAAATCAAGGAAATTTAAGAAGTGTTCTTTCAAGTAATTTTAATAATATCGTTTGGATTGAAAAATTACTAGTCTTACATAACATATTATATGATCTTAAAGATTTGCATAAATTGGGTTATTTTCATAAAGATTTAAATATATTACTGAATAGAAAAGAAGAACCTGATAAAAATCTTTCTTATGTTTCAGATTTTGGATTATCAGGACCATCAAATGAACATAAATCCGATAATAAAACTTGTGGAGTATTGCCATACATTTCTCCAGAAGTTTTGAATGGTGAACCATATTCATTAATCATTATCTTCTGATATCTATAGTTTTGGTATAATTATGGCAGAATTATCATCTGGAAGATCTCCTTTTTATAATAGAAAACATGATTATAGCTTAGCATTAGAAATATGTAATGGAATCAGGCCTGAATTTGGAAAGGGAACTCCTGAAATTTATAAAAAATTAGCATATAGATGTATGAGTGCTATTCCAAATCAAAGACCAACAGCTAGTGAATTATATGACATATTAAATTTTTGGTATATTTCTCATTATAGATATTTATCAAGAAGAGGAAAATTTTGGTTATAAGGGAAAAGAAATTAAAGCTACTTTTGATGAAGCTAATAAAGAAATACCAAATATTTCAACTTCACATGAAAAAAATCCTGATGCCGTATACACAAGTAGGGTATTTACATTTAGTAGTAATTTGCCAAAACCTATTAATTCATCTATTATTACTTCGTATCTTGATGAAGATAATAAAGGTATTGTACTTGAACTATTACTATTATGATTATTCCTTCTATATGATTAGTCCTATAATTACTTTTTTTTTTATTGTTTTATAGATTGTCAAGATTCTAAATTATTTGATTTAGAGGTTTCTAGTTAATTATATTCAAAATATAACATAATTATTCATTGAGTTTACTACAAATAATTACAGTATATATTCGTTTATCGTATTTTTTGTGATATATTCACTGTTTATTTTATTAAATTATTATATTTATATACATAATATATAATTATTATAATAAAAGGCAAGTAAAATAACTATTTAACAATTAAACATTATAATATGATCTTAGAATGTGAAATTAAGTGGTAATTATACTAAGAAATATAATATATATTGCGACTGTGAACTCATCTTTCTATTGCCTTTACGATAACGACATATTCGAAGAAAAATAATTTAAAATAAACAACTAAAATTAAATCAGTAACTTCTTTGCATTATTAAGTAGTTCAATGATAAAGTTTTTACATTATCAAATGAGTGAGTGTTGATTTACTTTAAAAAACTGAAATTGAAATTTAAGCAAATTATCTATAATAATGAGTATAATCCAAAAATAATAAAATAAAGGAATGAAACTATAAATATTTTTAATAAAAAAATGAGCCATGAATTTTTTTATGTACTGTATTCGGAGATACGACAAATAAATATATTATTTCGAACGACCTACTGTAGAATTTCTGTCTTTCATCCATATCAGTGACATAACTACTTGCTGTATTGGACAAAAATATATTATAAAACTTCTATATTAACCTTATTAATCTTACAAATCCGTTTAAACTATTTTATTATGAGTGCAGTATTTCTTCTTTTTTTTTTTTGTTTCAATAAAACATATCAATTTTAATTCCAAATCCATTTTTAACCATAGAAATTGTGAGAAGCGTTCCTATTCCTCAATTTTTGTGCTATTACTTAGATTTAATGCAAATTTGTTTTGATAAGAATGCGAGATCAGAATAAACAATATTACAATAAAATAATATAATATAGTATATTTATATATTTAATAAATATAGATCATAAATTTAATAAAATATATTTGCTAAAGCTACCTCCTATAAATAATTATGATGAAAAAGTTAATTTCCTAACTTACCCGTAAATAAATGAAAGAAAGTAACTAAACCAACAAATATAAGATTTTTACCGTATATATGTTGTATGTTGTAATGCCGTAATATACCTAGTAAATTTATTAATTATAAGGCGCAGTATTATATTTAGAATTAATGTATAAAATTTAGTTTTTAAAATTGTATGACGTTATAAATGTGACGTCCGAGACGACGTTAAACTAATAGATAGTAAATGATCAAGTGATTAAGATATCAGGTGATTAATTTGTAGATCATGACGTTAAATATAAGGATAATTTAATTGGTTACTAAATGACATTACACTTAAGGAAATAGATTATGAATTTTTTTTTTTTTTTTTTTTTTTTTACAACTCGCGTAACCGCCTCTCTTTATTAATTAAATTGAAAAAAGCGCACTATTTACAAAATAAAAAAAGAGATACATTGAAATTGCCAACGTCAAGAATTGACAATCACTCCATACCGGGCGCTTCGGGTCAAAATAGATTATGGATTAGTAATGATAAACATTGCTTGTTTAATGTGGAACAATAGTTTTGAGGGCAACGCATAGTATAGGTTAAGTTCAACAGGTTACTATATTCAGATTAATATAAATAGCAGAATCATTTTAATCTTGTTAAAAATCAGGATACGAATTTTGAAAATAAAAAGAAATTTTAGGATAAACATTCAACCGTTATTTAATATTATTATGCAGCCAAATAGGATCATGTTGTTTTTAACATACTGATATTTTTTAGATAAACAAATATCTTTGATATTTTTGACGCATTACGTCATATAGATTATTATCACACATTTATTATGCTTTTCATATGGAACATGATCTTGGACGTCTGCATAATAACATAGTTATTAGGTAGGGGGGTTAAAATATCATCCGAACTGCTTCGCAGTTCGGTGATATTTCAACCCCTCTACCCAATAACTATTATTTATTAAGCCAAGCATATTATTGTATTTATTTATATTATTAATAAATAATCATTTTGTCAATATCTAAGGTGGTAAACGTGACTTATCACGGGCTTAGGTATTACAATGTGGATTCTGAATCCACACATGTGTTGGCCAGAATTAAAGCATAGTGCCGGACTAGAATTTCGTAATGCTGGCCAAGATTCGATTTTCACAAACTGTATATGTGCATCTTTTTATTCTTTTTTCTTTCTCCTGACAATCCCGATTTTATTACGGGAATCCGAAAAAAGGCCGATATATGTACATATATATTTATATTATTATTTATTTCATTTATTATTATATGTTTATTTATATATATAATATAAAATATATATATTTTGTATTTTTTTTTTAGTTTCAGAGTACTTAATTTTGTCTCTTATATTTTTTACATGTGCTTCAATAATTTATTATTTATTGTTTCAATGAATGTAACAAAAAAAAAGAAAAATTTTTTTTTTTTTTTTTTTTTTTAAAAATAAGGGTGAAGTTTCGAACTTTTCATTTTCATTTTTTTTTTTAAGCGCATCAATAGTTTCAGAGTTCAAAAAAACCTTTTTTTGAACAAGTACATTCATTTATTTCATTCATTTATTCCTTATATCACCCCCCTATACACTCGTCAGACATCACACATCAACATCACCATAATTTATATATAACTAAACAAAAAATTCCCAACATTTTTTTTTTTTTTTTTTTAAAAAAAAAGAAACAAATATTAATTTTTTCTTTATCAAGTTTATAACACAATCATGAAGGTCACTATTTCTCTTTGTGTTTTCGCATCATTACTTGTTACGTTTACAGACGCGGCGGCGTTAACTGGTAAATGGCCACCTCTTGATCAACCTCCACCACCTGTGAAGGATTGGACCGCTTTGGTTGATTTAACAAAGGTTCCCAATGCTCCTTTAGTAAAAGCAGCAGATGTAGGAGTCAAATGTCCAGACAAAAATACTTTTTGTAATTGGAGTTGTAATGGGTGTACTAAGCCCGACTCCGACGTCATCCTATGCCCAACTAAAGGAGGTTAGTACAAAAAATATTATTATTTTTTAACTAGAAAAAAATTAATATTAACTGTTAATAATTTTTTTCCAATAATAGATTGGGGTATCACTTTTGATGATGGTCCAACGTAAGTTTTATTTCACATGTAATAGTTATTTATGTCATAACATGTCAACACCTCATGTTTAAAAATTTTTTTATATTTTATAGAGAATACACAACCGGCTTGTTAGATTTCCTTGATAACACAGGGGATAAAGTAACATTCTTCGTTGTTGGTTCTAGAGTATATGAAAATCCAGAAATTTTACAAAGAGCGGCTAAGGCGGGACATCAAATCGGTATACATACTTGGTCTCATCCATATCTTACATCACAATCCAATGAACAAATAATTGCAGAATTCAAATGGACTGAAGCTGCAATAAAACAAGCTGTTGGACTTACACCTAAATATGTACGTCCTCCATACGGAGATTATGATGATCGTGTAAGAGGAATTGCAACTCAACTTGGTTACAAAGTTGTTATTTGGGATAGAAATACAAATGATTGGATGTCAGAAGATGATAAATCCTACCAACTTACATGGATTGAAGGAAATTTCACTGAATGGGTTAAGGAACCTGCTACTACCGGTCATATTTCTCTTGAACATGACCTTTATAAACAAACCGCTGAGAGAGCTCTAATAGCTTTACCAATCGTTACAAAAGCTGGATTCAGTATTAAACCCATCTCTGTTTGTTTAGGAGAAAACCCATATGTTGAAGATGTTTCCCTTAATACAACTACAACTACAGCACCAGCACCAGCACCGACAGCAGCACCAGCATATCCTAGTTCAATACCATATGTTGTTGGTGAATCAACAGCTGCTATACCATCAGCTTCCTCTACCCCTGCTACTACCAGTGCTGCAAATACTTTAAACAGTGCTAATTTATGGTCATTTGTATCATTTATTGTGGGATCTGTCATGTTCATTTAACATTTTAAATAATTTGCATACAAATAGATTTTCTTTTTTTATGTAGAGAACAATAATAGTTAATAATAATAAAAAAAAATTAGTCGTATCTTAATAATTAATTACTTTTTTTAAAGGCTAAGTTTTTTCTTTTAAGATTTCGATAATAAAATTTCTTTTTTAACGTTAATTTGTTCTAGTATTTTTTATTATTATTATTATTTCGACCAAAACGAATAAGTTCAAGTAATAAATAATATGAAACGATGAATATAATATAATTAAAATAATTTTTATTGTTTACTAAAAAAAATTTCAAATGAAAAAAAAAAAAAGATATGCGCAAATAAAAATAAATAAATAAATAAATAATGATCGTAATGTAATGTTATCGATATTTGAGAAGTATTTAACCTGTCTCTTATACACATCTAGATGTGTATAAGAGACAGAAAAAATACAGTTGATCCCATTGAAATTATTAATTTTTTTTTTAAATAATATTATTTTAGGAAATTTTTTCGTTTATCAAATATTTTTTTTTTTTTTTTGTTTTTTGACTTTTTAAGTTTTTTTCTTATATAAAGGATTCACGTTATAAATTTTGTAAAGCACATGTTAACTTGAGATTAACTATAAACTTTTATAATTTAACCCTTTTATTTAAAAATAGATTATTTAAATATAGATATCAATATATACAGTAAATACAAAATAAGATCAATTTATAGTACAATTATCGTCGTTCAAATGTACTTTTGGTACTTTTATATATTTTTAATGAAACGAATGATAAAATAAAGAATTTTTTTAGGATACTCGTTCTAATAAATATCTATTAATCAATATTCAAAAATTTTTAATATTTAGATAAAAGTTAAAAGTATTAATCTAAAAATAACGGACATGTGAACGGTGAATGTGTTACAAGAAATTTCCTAAATTCGGTTAGATCCTTTAACTGCGTGATCACTCTTGATATCATGTGTAATATGAGTTGTCTTATTAAGATCATTAAGATCAGTGGCTGATCATAATTTTTCTGCTAGTTTAAATTACGTACTTATGTTTTTAAAGTTTATTTATCAAATGCCAAGATTTTTAACATTTTTTTAAAAAAAAGATTGGTTTTGCTAACAAATTTATAATTGGTTGATGTTTGTTTTCATTAGTTTATATCAAATTATCATGTAATGAAACAGTATAATAACTTTTGAACTTTTTTAGAATTTACCACCCATATTCCAATATTTTGGCTATTTTAAAAAAAGATCATCTTCATGTATCTTGACCGTCAACTGTTTTCAATTATCGAAATAATTCAGTTTTATAATGTTTTACAAAGATTATATTTAATAAAAAAATATAGAACTTTGTATTTCTTGGATTTTTTTTTTGATTTTTTTTAAAAGGGTTTTTATATAATCGAAGTTTCTCTTATCAAATTTTGAATTTTACGTCTGTGTATGATAATTTTGATTCTACCTTTAAACCTCAAGATTCATTTCTCATAAAATAAACTAGTGACAACTATACTTCTCATACTCAGTATTTTATTCATATGGAACAAGATAATGATAACGCTAATGAAAGTATTACATTATCAACTTAAACTGGTTTGTATTTATTTTATTTGAGCTTTTGGGCCAGTTCTTTACATTAGTTAATATGGTTGGTTGCATTCTATTGTAGCTTTACTTGGTGTTGAATATATAAACTGCGGAGCCAATTTTCCTAGGTTACTCTCATGTCCTACAATTATGAAGGAAGCTACTTTGATATAGCTATTCACTTCTGTACAGAATATGGAAGATTCTATGGCTTTACTGTAAGAAAAAAAATGAAGTGAAAAGATTCTAATGGTAATTTGTGGCATAGGTGTCTTGATTGTGAATTATCTGGCTCTGAACCAAAAGAGAATAACCGTATCAGTAAGTGAGAAAACAATCAGGTATTAACTTGGGTTAGGGTTAGGGTTAGGATTAGGGTCAGGTATTAGGGTCAGTTAGGGTTAGGATTAGGTTTGGGTTAGGATTTGTGATAACTTTAAAAAATAACTAGGATTTTGCATTGACTAACCATATAATTTTTTTCTATAGATTTATCACGTATAAGTATGCTAAAGCACATTGTAATCAACCTCGTAATCAGTCTAAAAGGAAATTACAGGTGATGGAAAATAAGGAGCAAAAAGAAATAATTAGTGTAAATTATAATAGTAAAATATTGTTTAGTTCTGATGATGTAATTTATTCAACTGACGAAATTTTAGAACCACTTAAGCATTTAGGAAAAGGTGGACCATCTAGTAAACGTTTGTAATCATCAGTTGAAAGGTAAAAATAAAGAAAATCAAAGGGCTATAGATGAGGGTTATTGTTGTAGACGATGGGGTGATATGGTTCATACTTCATAATGTTAGAACGGGACCCGATCAAAGACTGACAATCAAAAGACTGACATGCTGGCCCGCATTATTGTCGGCCTTTTGATTGTCGACCTTTCATACCAGACCCTGTTAGAACATGTAAAATAACTTAATAATTTAACAGCAATTAATAATAATTATGCTTACTTATATTACTAATTTCAATAATCATATTGTAACTTGATATATTATAATATAATAATAGTCATGTGATCATCCTGTGAATTTAACGGGGTTATTAATAAAAAATTTCTATTTTTATTTACTCATTTATTAAAAATAATAAAGTGGTTTACGTAATTTACTAATTATAAATTATCTAATTATCCTATTAAATATTCTTCTGCTGCGTTACCTTCCATTAAAATAAAAATGATGCAAGTAATTCTTAATATTGATAATTACAATAATTTTTGCTGCAACTAGCCATGTGTTGAAAAGCGCCCCGTAAATCTAATCACCATTGAACCATTAATCTTGACGAGAATATAATAGTAAATACTGTATATTGTATATTGTTGTACAATGTACATCGTGTAAAAATGTAAAATGGAAGAAAATAAATCAGTCATCCTGCTCCCACTTTAATACGAAAAGTAGTGAGCATAGTACGGTTATGCAACGAATAATTTTCAAAATAAAAATTTGATATGTGAACACATTCTTTACATCAATATTTGTCATAGAATGATTTTTATTTTACTCAACACATTATATTTGAATTTAAAATAGAAAATCTCGCCTCTTGAAAAAAACCAAATATACTCTTTTTTTATAATAAAATTTACGATCAGTTTGTATAATTATATGTTGAACTGATGAAGAAAACGTTTTTGAAAGTTCATTTCAGTCATTTGGATAATATCCAATCACATGATTTTAATCAAAAAAAAAATAAGTATAATGATCGGGTCATTTGTCATTTGTCATCTTTCATTTGCTGAATACTGTTTAAAACGGTATACCAAATTGAAACAAGCGTAAAAAAATTTGGGTAGCATCAAAAGCAAAGTAAAGCATAACCTCATAATTATAATTTTGTTATTTTCATTTTTAAATAAAGAAAGTGTAAATGGAATTTAAAGAATTTTTTCCAGCAATTGCATTCCTCAACATAATTCATTGAATATTTATGTTGTAATAATATATACTGTACAATTATAGTACATATATATTTTTCGTTAAAGAATATACTATTATTTAGCGCAAAAAAACACGCGTTTAAATCGATCGGATTTTATCCATGATGTACTAATATAAGCTGTGAGGTGAGTTTATAAAAATTATGAATAATTTAATTTTAAATTTTCGATATCATCTACTCAATATTATACGAATTAAAGGTACTCCATTAGTTAAATAATTATTTATTTTATCATATTACCGATCACGTTTTCAATATGTATATGTATGAATGAATACATAATAAAAATACTTAAGATTGTAATGAATTTTTTTTTATTTTTCACGACATGATAATTATACAATATATAAAAAACTTTTTAGGTATAAATAACTGATAACTTGAATTTTGATGATAAAACTACATATTATGAAATAATAATGATAATATGATAAAAGTATGCTAATAATTAAATAAATAAACAAAAGCTAATAAATAATCTTTCACAAAAAAAAAAATTTTGAAATAAAATTAATTAATTTCCGTGGCATTATTATAATTATTTATTTACTAATAAAATATATACATCGTATATATTACCTTTTTTAATTTGGAATCTCCATTTCTGCCAGCAGAGAATCTTGAAGATATGAAGTAATGATAGGTGAATTAATGGGTTTTGGTAAATCACTAAATATGAATGGCCTACTAATGTATATTGCACCAGGATTTTTCTCAAATGAAGTTGAAATACTTGGTATTTCTTTATCAGCTTCTTCAAAAATAGCTTTAATTTCTTTTCCCTTATAACCAAATTTCTTTATATCTTGACAATTTCCATACGTAGAATTATGCCAAAAATGTAGTATGTTATATAATTCACTTGCAGTTGGTCTTTGATCAGGATTGGCATTCATACATTTATAAGCCAATGTTTTGTAAACTTCAGGGGTTCCTTTTCCAAATTCTGGTCTGAGTCCATTGCATATATCTAATGCTAATTTAATATCATGTTTTCTTTTATAAAAAGGTGGCACCCCAGACGATAATTCTGTCATTATTACACCAAAACTATAAATATCAGATGATGATGTATATAATTTAGTATTTAAAACTTCTGGAGAAATATATGGTAGTACACCACATATTTTATTATCTGATTTTTGTTTATTTGATGGTCCAGCGGACAGTCCAAAATCTGAAATATAAGAAATATTTTCGTTATCTTCATAATTCAATAGTATATTTCCACTATGAAAATCTTTATGAATATATCCTAATTCATGTAAATTTTTAAGGTCGTATGCTGAATTCATTAAATTTAAAAGCTTATCTTCCCATAAAATTTTGTTGAAATTATTTGAAAGAACGCATCTTAAGTTTCCCTGGCTTGCATATTGCATAACCATCATAAATTCTATAGTATTCGGATCCCTGGTTATTCCATGAAAATTTAAAGAACCGGTGTTTGAATTGTACAAACCCCAATGTGTTTTAAGCTATTATAGAAATTAAATTAAATATAAATTAATTAATTTTAATTATTAGTAGGAATTTAATTGAAATAATTGAAAATATATACATTAGAATAAACTATTACCTCATTTAAATATTCATCCGACATGTTTTGTGATCCGTTTAATTTTTTCAAAGCAACTTTTATAGGTTCAGATTCTCCTTTTTTCCAACTCCCATTATTTCTAGTATATATTGCTTTACCATCAATCCATGTTGCGGAGTAAACTTTGGCAAACCCTCCTTCACCAATCTTTTTTATATCATTAAATCTATCATATGGTATCCATTCAAGAAATAATGGGTAATCATCATCATAATCATCATCATCATCATCAGAATATTTTGCATTATAAATTGTATTCTTGATAAATTCATCAATGTCAGAGTTTTCACTGGTCCACTCTTCAATTATGCAACGAGGAACACATTCTTTACACCATAACTTTTTGACTTTTGGTTTATAACAATTTTCATGATTAGAATTCATACTCATTTTTATGTTTTAAAAAAGTAAGTTTTTTCAAAAAAAATTGTTAAAAGGGAATTCAATGGTCAAAAAAAAAAAAATTTTTTGGGCGTTACTTTATACTATTTATACAATTAGAATAAAAAAGGTTAGTCGCAGAACATAGCCACATTCCTGATTTGTCGATCATACATGATGATCACTATCATTCTGCGGCGAAATACATCATAATTGATGATCATTTGTGTCGCAGTAATACATTACTATTGTTCGCGATTGTTGATTGTTTAGGCAGTTTAGTATATCGGAATATTCGGAATATCCGGAATTTTCGGTGCTCACTTGCATAAAGTTTGAAAGTTATTCTGGAATAGTACCATTTTTTGGTTTTTTAATTCGAAAATGAATGATTTTATTTCCAATTAGTAAAATAAGTTTATTCCATTTATTGATTACAAATGTATCAAAGTTAATCATTTTAAAATAAATTTTCAATATTTCCTCGCACTGTATATTGCCACCTCAACTTTGGCCTGTCCCAGACGATTTATTTTTTCTACTATAATAACTACTGAATTCACTAATAATATATTTGAATACTTATACCTCCCTTTCACCTTATCATATTAAATTAAAATTAATAATTTATATAAATATATATTTCGACATATAATTAATTTTCTGCATTATCTTTGTTATCATCTGTTTATTTATTAAATAATAAACATATACCATTAGTATTAGTAAATTAAATAAAAAACATATACCATTAGTAATATATATTGAATATAATAAAAAAAATGTTACCATTTAAATTTAATGAGTTAGAGATTTCTAAATCAATTAACTGAGAATCTTGAAAATCTATTCAAATAATAAAATTAGCAATTACTTTAATTATAGAAAAATATATTAAATATAATACCTATATTATTTTCTTCATCATTGATATATGAAGTAATAATAGACGAATTAACAGGTTTTGGCAAATTATTAAATGTGAATATTCTACTAGTGTAAATTGCATCAGGATTCTTTTCATATGAAATTAAAATATTTGGTATTTCTTTATCAGCTTCGTCAAATATAACTTTAATTTCTTTTCCTTTATAACCAAATACTTCTTTTTTTTGATATTCAGTATAACGAAAACTATTAATATCAGAAGAATGCCACCAAAAGTTTAATATATCGTACAATTCTTCTGCTGTTGGCCTTTGATTAAAAATGGCATTCATACATCTATAAGCTAATTTTTTATAAATTTCAGGAGTTCCTTTTCCAAATTCTGGTCTGAGTCCATTACATATTGCCAGTGATAAGCCAGTATTATGTTGTCTATTATGAAAGGGCGGTTTTCCGGATGACAATTCTGTCATAATTACACCAAAACTATAAATATCAGATGATAATATATATGGTTCTCCATTTAAAACTTCTGGAGCAATATATGGTAATACTCCACATATTTTATTATCTGATTTTTGTTCATTTGATGGTCCTGATAATCCAAAATCTGAAATATATGAAGTATTTTCATTGTTCTCATAGTTCAATAATATATTTCCACTATGAAAATCCTTGTGAAAATATCCTAATTTATGTAAATATTTTAGGTCTTGTGATAATCCATGTAAATAATTAATTTTGTCTTTCCACAAAATGTTTTTAAAATTACTTGAAAGAAAACATCTCAAATTTCCAATTTTCGCAAATTCGATAATCATCATAAATTCTTTAGTTTCCGGATCTTTAGTCATTCCATAAAATTTTAATGAATTTGTATATGATTTATTCAAATTCCAATGTGCTTTAAGCTTAATATTAAGTAAAATAAATAAATAAATTTATATTAATATTAATAAAAAATTCTAATATTATATAAATATATACCTCACTTAAATAATCAGCTGACATATTCTGTGAATTATTCAACCTTTTCAAAGCGACTTCTATGGGTTTAGGATTTGATTTTTTCCAACTTCCAAAATCTAGTTTATAATATTCTGCTTGTCCATCGATCCATGTTGCAGAGTATACTTGAGCAAATCCACCTACACCAATTCGTCTTATATCTTCGAATCTATCAAATTGTACCCATTCGAGAAATCTAGCATCATCTTTATCATAATTCTTTCTTGTATCATAAATTGTATCTTTGATAAATGTATCAATATCATGATTGCAACGAGGATCGCATTCTTTACACCATAATTCTTCAATAAATGGTTTGTTGCAATAAGAACAATTTTCATGATTTATGTTCGCTGAATCATGGTCTTTTTTATTAGTGATATTACATTCAGATTCTATAGAAACTTGAGTTACGTTATCTTTACTCATATTTAATTGTAAGTGTTACTCGAGTGGGCGTTACTTTATTTTATTCCAATCAATGAGAACGAAAAAGGAATTTAATTTCCAAAATTAGTTAGAGTAATAGATCAAAATTAGTATGCGTCATACAACAAATACAATTTGGATGTAGGATATTCTAAGGCAACTATGTGAAACAATGTGATCACGGATCTGATCATAAAATTTTTAATATACTTTTTTAACTAACATTGATAGACTTTTTCCATCTTTTTAAACAAACATCAGTGGGAATATAAATAATAAAAATCATGAATAATATTATTAGGGGCTATCAGCCAATTTAGCCATGTAAATACAAATAATCTAAAAATTTAAATAAATTGACACATATATGGTAATACTGATAAATTATATCTCAAATGTTACATTTTGTGAATTATTCAAATTAATATTTGTGCATCACAGCGTGTAATATAGTCATTTTTCCGATTTGTTCTCTGTGTTCTATTCAAATCCACACTTCTGCAATATACTGAATATACTGTATATTATATTGTAAGCATATTAGATCGTTCTATTTTTATTTATCTTAAAGCGACATATTAAAAAAACACATGGTTTAATGAATTAATATATGATATTCCAATATGAATCTTAATAATTAATTTTATACGAAAAAAAAAGATTATTTTATCAATATAGGGTAATTTCAGTTTTATTATAATATACTTATTATAAATAATTTTTAAACTGGCCAAAATTTTAAAACTTAGTCATTGACTAATAATCAGTTAAAATCTTAACTGATTTGCAACAATCGATGATACATTTTGTTAATAATGAGTATGCATGACTATCAATAAAAATTAAGAATATATAAATGCTTGTGGAAATAAAAAAAAAAATTTACAAACAGTTGTTTGCTTAATAAACTTCAACAACTTCTCTCTCTTTATACCTCTCTTTCTTTTAATAATAACGGTATAACCTTTCTCTTTTCATTTTCTCTTTCTTTCTTTTTTTTTTTTAAGATGACGCAAAAAAGGAAGTTAATAGAGCCATTAGCCTCGGAAAATTCAGCATCAAAAAGGAAGAAATTTACCGATTCAGGAAATTCGGCATCAAAAAGGAAGAAATTTGCCGATTCAAGGAAGAAATTTGGTAAAAAAAATTTTCCTTATAATTGATAAGATATAACATATATATCATATATATTAACTCTTTTTTTAACTCTTTTTTTTATTAGATATTAATGAAATAGATTTCAACCGTACTTACAACCTTGAGGAGTTTGAATTCATCAAAGACCACATTAAGGATAATTATCCCAACTTTGAGTTTGTAAATGGAAAACTAGTTCCTGTTTCATATTCTCCTATTGTATATGAAGCTATTGTACATGAAATATCTAGACAGCTTGGTAATTGGAATATTAATAATTCCAAGAATGGTGTTGTCACCACATCTAAAGGAGGTTTTGATTTTAACGTTTCTGGTGGTCAGAAAATTCGAGCACCAAACGTTACTTTTACACCTGCCAATATTTATCGTTCACTTGATGAAGAACAACTTTGGTCTTTTAATGGGCAACCCTTTACCCCTTTTTTTGTTGTTGAAGTTGCAAATCTCAAGAAAAAAGAAGTAGATAAAGAAATTGATACTAAATTTAAGAAGGAATATTTTGCAATTGGTACTTCTGTGGAGTTAGGATGGTTAATTGATCCATTGAATCGCATTATCCAGGTTTACAAAAGAAATAAGAATGGTGAACCTTATCGTAGAAAGCGGCCATGGGTTTATTTGGAAGGTGGTAAACATTTACCAGGTTTTACTTTAGAATTGTGGCCTATTGATGATATCATTGCTCAGGTAATAAATATATTATATGTTATAATAGTAGTTGTTAAATATCTCATTTTTAAAATTTCACTATTTTTTAGGAAATAAATTATGAAGATGATAGTAGCGAAGAAGAAGATGAAGAAGAATGCCCTTACTGTAATGCAAGTATTAAAGGCGCCTCTCAAATGGTAAAACATATACAAAATAAACATAATTGATGTACAGTACCGAAGATCTAATGAGAAATAATGAAAAGATAATTAATCAGAATGCTGGAAATATGAACCAAATGAACGACCAAATATACAGAAAATTGTTTCAACACTTAAATCAATAACGTTTATAGTATTATGCATTTATGATTTTAAATATGATTATTATACATTTATAGGATTTATATATTTATAGGATTTATGTTATATAGGATTTATGTTATTAACTATTCACTTTATTATTACTATTCTTTAATATTTATATATTTAGGTTTAGAATAACTACTATAAGCTTTATGACTTAGCAAACAGATGCTTTAAAATAAAATAAAAAATATTATTTTGCATTATTATAATATATATATATATGCTGTATATACAGTGGTGAGCAAAATTATTTGGAAAACTTTAATTAACTTTTTAGAGAAGCTATAATAATTTGATATTTACGCCAAGTGTGTGTACAAAATTACAAATGCAGGAATAATTAACTACCTAAAATAGTATAGGTAGGTAATATATTCGTGAATTGCCGAGTGGACCGTCTCGAATTCAAATTATTTTGTAAATTTTCAATCCGTATAATTTATTCAAACTTTTACATACGTTAAATAAATTCAGTCATTTATTACAATTATTAAAAATATTTAAAATTTAAAATTATGAGATCTTTTAGATCATTAAATGATTCGTTGATATCATCTATTGTAACTTATTTTGCCAATAAATTACTCGAAAATAAAAATTAATAGATACTGCAATAAACTTTACCGTTTATTGATACTTCACCAGAATTTAAAAAAGCAGAGAAAATATTTTATAATTTTTTTCCATACATAAATGTTGGTAATCATACAACGAAAAAATGTAGAAGTAAAAGTGCTTATCAAAAAAAATAAAAAAGAAGTGCATTAAGGTAAACTCAAAATGAAGATGCTTCTTTTGTTATGTCCAAATAAATCACCGATGACCTTAGCATGACTACAAACGAAATATTTCATCAGTAATTCGTATTACTCGATGAATGTGACACGTATTTTTTATTTTACAAAGGGCAACTTTTATTCGAAGAATTATTATAAATATCTACTTAGCAAGGGCGTGCAAGCATTTCACGAATATTCTAAACACATATATTTTTGTAACGTTAATCAGAGTTATCCTCTCGAAAAAAATGCAATCGAAATAAAGGTCTCAACAAATAAATTGAGAGTAGAGTCTTTTACAAAAGCACGTACCACTGTATTTTTCCTAATGAAAACCCTCCTAAGTATATATGGAAATTTGACCTCAGCTAATTGAATTTACTCAAATAGTGATATATTTAAAAGTGCAATGCCATGAGATTTAAACTATATACAATTAAAAAATTATCCTTCCTCATAACTTAATTTTATTAATTTAATAAAATATTTGTATCTTTATTAGAAATAAAATTTTCATTCCTTAACGTTCAACATTCCCGAATTCTCCAAATTTAATGGTTTTCATATTCTTAGGTTTCTGTTAATAAGCTTTTACGTTTTTTGACCAGGTTATAATGTATTATTTCTAACTATCCAACAGTTTCTTCGTAATTCCAATTGTAAGATTAGTAAGTAAATAAGAAAGAATTTTTATGTGCCTAAAAACTATTATTATTCGTTTCTAATACTTTTTCAGCTAAATTATTGATCATTATCATAAAATTCTACCTAATGTATTGGCCTATAATATTTTTTGCTACAGTTAATTCAGCCTGACTGATCAAAGTTTAAATTCAGTCTGCATCGAAATTCACATGACTGTGCTAAAAATTGACATGACAGGACTCAGAAAAATCATCAGATTGATATTTGTGTCATTTTTAGTTAATTTTTACTAGGTTTTTAAGCCATATCTTCCCATCCTCCTATTGTTTCGATAAAAAACCTGGTGACCACGATAGTATGAAGTTAAATTTCACTCAAATACTGCACTTCTTTTGACCCATAATCATAAATTTATTTTTTGCTGTCATTTTTCAATAAAATCTTTTATTTCAAGTTATTTTTTCTTATATAAAAGGTTGTGTAAAGATAGAATATTTATTTTGAGATGTGCAGCGTTGGATTAAGTATATTGCAATTTGATCTGCAAATATTTTAAAAGTCACTACACGTGACTGAAGTCACGTGAAATTTTCAAAAAATTTTGCTCACCACTGTATATATTTATACTGAAACATTTTTATAATGGCAGTCTAATAGAAAAGAAATCCAATAATTAGTCATAATTTGTAAATTTTTCCTGTCATAGATGGCAAGGTATCACACCTATTTTGTAATGTTAATTTTGGAAAATCTTGATGCAATAAGTCTAACCAGAATTATGCAATAAATAATTGCTAAATTGGGATACGTTTTAGTCAAATATTTTTATCTCATTTTTTTCATGCTATATTGGACACAGGGACCTTCATTGATTGGTGAAAATGGCCACTACATGGCCCAATCTCATCCAATCATTCAGTCCTGTTGTAGTGCCATAATTCCAGAATTAACTTTAATTTAAATAATAGAGTATTTCGGAATAGGGATCGTCTATATTTTGTGTAACATTAATAGTCCGAAGTAATTTAGATCGGAAATGAAGATCATCCTAATAATAATAATGATGTAATAAGTTACAATTAATTTATTATTATTTACGTTGATCAAAGGATCAACATGTAAATTATTATATAAACCCTAACTTTTTGACTTAGTATTAGCAGTTCCTTTTCTTTGGAAGTTCCTTTCCGTTTCTTTTAGTTCCTTTCAGTTCCTTTTAGTTCCTTTTAATTTCTTTTAATTCTTTTAATAAAAACTATTATTTTAATTATTATAATTATTTTATAATGTTCTGACGAAAATTTATGATTATATTATTTTATATTTAATAAATAACTGTGTTATAATGACATATTCTTACATAATAAAGAATAAACCTTTTATTAAATTATAAATTTTATGACTTTATGAGAGAGACGAAATTCTTGTGGCGACAGAGTGGCAGAAGCTGTCGTTGCACTGTGACCAATAGTATTTTGAAAAACATCAATAACAAACTTGAAACCAATTCTTACATTTATTTGTTTACATACATTTTCCAAGTTTTCCTATTTTAGTTAATAAATTCATATGCAAAGTGAGCCATGTCAAACACAAAGTATGATATATATATATAATACAAGACATATCATTTTTACTGAAATAACTTCAGATTAGCGTTGATACACATCATATATGATCAATTGTTTTGTTGGTACGACCTCGTGTGAAAAAAAATTCATATGAATAAGAGGATAAATTCAAAGAAAACCTTCTAAATAGTTTGTAACTCTAAACTTGTAATGTAGTATAAAATAATTAGTTTATTTAATCATTTTTCTTAAAATATATTTTAAACAATGGGTTTTAACTTCAAATAGCATGAAATTTATCAATTTAATCAGGACTTTATTAGAAGAAACTTTCATAGTTTAATATTATAACTGGTAATCCCTTTGAATTATAGGTTCACAATCATTATATTAGAAAACTTTTGACAAATTTATTATTTTCATTTATCATTTTAATATCAGAGAATAAGATTCTAAATTTATTTTCATTGCATTAGTAATTTTTAGAAATATAGGATAAGAAAAAGTTCTTGATACTTGAGTTATAAACATTACAAATCTTAAATTTCTATACTAATTCTATAAAAGGGTAATAATAGTCTGTATTTGCTGGTGCATTTATTAATTTCTCAAAACTTCCAAGATATTGTTTAAAATTCTTAATATATTCCCTATCCGGATGTTTATAATTTTCAAAAATCTTTTTTCGCGTAAATGATGGTTTGGGAATAGGAAAAGTGCATATTTCATATGCAGTGCTAACATGTAAACTATTCCCATCACTTTTAGCATGTTTTTTAAATTTAACCAACTCCAAATAATAAATATGATGAGAATGTACTAATCTTTCTTGAGTTCTCTTTAAAATTGGTTTAAAGTCTTCATCACATTCATATTCAATAATATCATCTATAATAAGCTTAGAAGATTCTTTAAAAATTGTTGGTAATAGATATTTTTCTGCAAGTATAAATGAGCCAAGAACTTTCTCAGTGAAATGTTCTTGAAGAAATACTTCACAAGAATTTAAGAGTTTTCTGATAATGTATTTATCAGATAAACGTAATAAATTATCAACATTATTCCAATAAACATACAATATGGTGTTAGGATAAATAAATGAAAGAATATCTTCAATTGAATTAGGTTCCTCATCAATGATTTCTAAAATAGGGATTGATCTTTCTTTTGATGAATCTTCTATAACTTTAATAATTTTATCTGAAGAAGGTGTCGCACAAGCAAATAAATCCTTGAAGAATTCAGAAGCAAGTGAAAGAATAGTTTTATGTACAAGAAAATTTGTATCTTTAACTTGGAGAATAATGTCACCATCCGTATAATAATGAAAAGTATGTTTTATGTATTTATCCATAATGAAATATTTAATTTTTATTCATAATAAAATATTTTAAGGCATTTTATATAAAAATATATATATATATGTATATATACATATAAAATCTTTTGTCAGTTTGAGTTCAAGTGTGTCAAGTCGTAATTAAAAAATTTCCGTAACACAAAATAAATATATGACGTAGTATCATGTCACAATTTGATATACTTGTTACTTGGGCGTTGATCAACATGAAAATCAAATGTTTATACTTACTTTTTTAACGTTAGAATTCAATTATAAGTATAAAACCTCAAAATAATAAAAAAATGTCATTTCAAAATACATGCAAAAGATGCGGTGAAGAATATACAGATATATATAATAAATGGTGTAAACATTGTATAATAAATTATTTGAAAAATAATTTTATAAATTGGTCTAGTGAAAATGAAAAACTTGATAATTTTATTCAACAATTGCAATTAAATATTGATGATTCATCTGATATAGTATTTGAATGGATACCATATAATCAATTTAATGATATTAAAGAAATAATTAAAAATGATCTTAATGTCATTTATTCAGCAATATGGAAAGATGGTCCATTATATCATGATAAAAATAATGAATGTATTAGAAAACCAAATAAAAATATCGTTTTAAAAAGTTTATTTAATTTACAAATTCTTTCTACCGAATTTCAAAATGAGGTACGAAAAATTTTTTATAAATTTAGTTCAAATTTCCTTGTTTAATATAATAATTTATTTACATTTTTTAATTTTTTTTTTTTTTTATATTTGTAGTTTAAAACATATTCAATAAATCCTTATAAGGAAAATGCTCTTTTAATATATGGAATCTCTCAACATCCTGATACGAAAGAGTATTTTATGGTTCTTCAGGATGATTATTGTAAAAGTTGTAATAATAAATATACAAGTGAGATATGGTGCTATCCATGTCAAATAAGCAAATTTAAGCAAAATTTTAATAATTGGACTAGCGGAAATAAAAAAATTGATGATTTTATTCAAGGAATGCAATTAAGCATGAATAGTAGTATTGATATACCATTTGAATGGATACCTTATGATCAATTTGATATTATAAAAGCAAGAGATAAAGATGATTCAGATGATTCTACTATAGTATATTCAGCAAAATGGAGGGATGGTCCATTACGTTATAATATTCATAAAATGGGATATATAAGAAATTCGAATCAAAAAGTTGATTTAAAATGTGTACATGATTCTCAAAGTATTATCGATGAATTCTTAAATGAGGTATGGATTTTTCTAAAAATTCAATTGTAATAATTGTAATATAATACTTATTATTTTATTCTTTATTATTAGGTCGCAACATATTCAACTGCATGGATAGTATCGCATCATAGTAGTAAAACTTCTAAAATATATGGAATATCCCAACATCCAAATACAAACGATTATATAATGGTTCTTCAAAGTAATTATTGCGAAAATTGTGATAAAAATTACGTAAGTAATAATGTAATGAATAAATGGTGTAAACCATGTCAAATAAACCATTTGAAAAAAAATCTTGCGAGCTGGTTTAGTGGAAACGAAGAAATCGATGATTTCATTCAAGGAATGCAATTAAAAATTAATTATCGTAATAATGTAGTATTTGAATGGATACCATACACTCAATTTTATGATATTAAAAAAATAGTCATTAGTGATTCTATTACTATATATTCAGCAATATGGGAGGATGGTCCATTATGTTACGACGAATATGACGAGAAATTAACAAGAGAATCTAATACAATGGTTACTTTGATATGCTTAAATAATTCAAACACTATTATTGATAAATTTTTAAAAGAGGTATGATAGCCTTTAATAAATTTGTTTTAAAATAATAATACTTTTTAGCGTATTTAATCTCTGTTTCTAATAGGTCGAAATACATTTAACAAGAACTCGTAATCACAATGATGACGACGATGATAAGTATGATGATAATGGTGATGTTAATGATGATGATGATGGTGTTGATGATGATGACGATAATAATACTAGTTTTCTTGAAATATATGGTATATCCCAAAATCTAGTCACAAAAGATTATATCATGATTTTTCAAGATGGACATTGTAAGAAATGCGGAAAAGAATATACTGATATAAAAAGTAAATGGTGTAAACAGTGTCAAATAAATGATTTTAGAGAAAATTTTATAAATTGGACGAGTCATAATAAAGAAATTGATAAATTTATTCAAAAATTGCAACTAGATATTAAGAATTATAATGATAAGATATTTGAATGGATACCATACAATCAATTTAAAAATATTCAAGAAATAAACAAAAGTAATTCTATTACAATATATAAAGCGATATGGAATGATGGTCCATTATATTATGATGATGATGAAAAGAAATGGATGAGAAACTCTAATAATAATGTTGCTTTAAAATGTTTATCAAATTCACAAATCATTGTTGATGAATTTTTAAATGAGGTACAAATTTCTAAGTTAATTTGAATTTTTTTTTTTTAAATAAATTATTAATATTTATTTTTTTTAAAAAATAGGTTAAAATGCATTTAGAAAATGATGACGATGACGACAATATTAATTTCCTTGAAATTTATGGAATATCACGAGATCCAGCCACAAAAGATTATGTTATGATCCTTCAAGATGGATATTGTGAAAAATGTGGTGAACAATATACTGATAAATGGCTTGAGTGGTGTAAACCATGTCTAATAAATCATTTACAATCAAATTTTACAAACTGGACTAGTGGAAATAAAAGAGTCGATATTCTTATTCAAGAAATACAATTACAAGTTGATAAATGGTATGATATAATATTTGAATGGATACCATTTGATCAATTTAGTGATTTTAAAGAAGTAGGTAGAGGTGGTTTTTCTAAAGTATATTCAGCAATATGGAAGGATGGCCCATTAGATTATGATATTGATAAAAAGGAATGGAGGAGACAACCCAATAAAAAAGTTGCTTTAAAATGTTTATTCAATTCAGAAAATATTAGTGATGCATTTTTAAATGAGGTGAGATTTCTTTAAATATAATATATTTCTATTTATTAGATTTACCCCTATTTATTAATAATATTTATCAATAGGTTAAGGCATATTCAAATACAATTACTGAAAAAATTCTTCAAATATATGGAATTTCTCAAAGTCCAAATACGAAAAATTATATTATAATTCTTCAATATGCAGAAAGTGGAGATTTTAATGATTGGATAGATAAAAATTATAAAAATTTTGATTGGAATAGTAGATTAGAAGTCTTATCTGGCCTTATTGATGGTCTTATTGATATACATGAAAAAAATTTAGTACATCGTGATTTTCATACGGGAAATATTTTATTTAGGTTTCAAGATGAAATCAATGTATGTATTTCAGACATGGGATTATGTAGAGAAGCTGATAATATGGATAAAACAAAAATTATTGGAGTTATGCCTTATGTAGCTCCTGAAGTATTAGAAACAAAGCCTTATACTCAAGCAGCAGATATATATAGCTTTGGTATGATCATGTATTTTATAGCAACTGGTGGAAGAAAACCTTTTGATGATTGCGCACATGATGTAGATTTGTCATATAGAATAACTTCCGGAATTAGACCTGAATTTGATGAATCAGAAGTACCAAAATATTATATTGATTTAATGAAAAAATGTTGGGATCCAAATCCTGCTAATAGACCAAGACTATCAGACATTAAAGAAATGATCGCATTATTTAGGGATTCATATCATCAAGATTATAAATTTCAAGAAGAACGCCACTACGAAATTGAAAAACAATTTAAAGAAGCAGAAATGCGTAGAAGATTGGACAATAAACGATCAACCACTCATCCTCAAGCTAATTATAAAGCTCGGGTACTAAATCCTTTTATAAAAGGTCTTCCAAAGGATGATAATAATAATGATATTAATAAAGTCAGTGATGAATTAGCAGTAGAAGATTTGTTTATTAATATGGAACATTCAGAATATAATAATAACGAATTAAGTGATATTATTGCAGTAGAAGATTTCCTAGTGCAGCAAATGATGCAAGACCAACAATGAAATAATTCGGTAGAATTATTAAATATTGAACAATAATTACTAAAAAATATATTTTTTATTATTATTTATTTTATATCAAGTAAGAGATTTATAAATTGTATGACACTGATTATAGAGGTTATGTAAACTTATTTTTTATATAATAAATTAGTTTATAATTGATCAAATTTATTTTATTAAAATGTTAAAATGATTTATACTATGTTAATTTTTATTGAGTAATTCATGAACAATATTTAAGGGTAGGATGTTCGATATGTTCCTATTTGGTTCGCCTTGCTAAAGCTATTTATATGTTAAAAAACATGTGATGGTGAATTTTTCTTTTAAATTTTGCGCTTGTGCATAATAATTTGATACTTTATGTTCAGTACTTTTTCTTGCTTTGTTAGTAACATGTATCTCTTTATTAGTATTCATAGTATTCATAAAAAATATATACATTCATAGAAATACATAGTATTAAAGTCACAGTAATGATGATCGTCCTTACACCTAATGCTTACAACGTTAGCGACGTTACACAATTAATTGACACGAATTGTGCCGACAATGTCGGACTCTACATTCCGCCGTTCCGAAAGTATAAATAATTGTGAAACACAAATACCTCTCTTTTTTTCTCTGCCTACAATATGTCATGTTCAAAAATATTTTCAGGAGATTTGCCCGAATTAACTTATAAAGTCTTAAAATATTTACAGAATAATTATTCAACTTTACACTCGTGCATTTTAGTTAACAGATTATGGTGTCGTTTAGTGATTCCATTATTATGGGAAAATCCATTTTCAATTCCTACCAAAAACTACAATTTTATTATAATTTATTCACATAATTCAAATAGTGATTTTAAAACAAAATTAATTGAATATAAAATTATTAATAATAATTCATTACCTCTGAATACACTGTTCAATTATCCTAGTTTTTTAAAATATTTGAGTATAAATAAAAAGTTTATTTATTCTGTTCAGAATTGGGTTGGAAATGCTATTAGAAAATCAAACCCCAAAAATTTATCTGATTTTAAAAGAAAGGTTGATATATTTGTATCGTTATTTAAAATATTTATTGAAAATGAAGTAAAATTACACACCCTTGAAATTGAATTCTCAAGTATTAATATTTCTACATATCTTAATAATATTTTTGAATTAATTTTACAAAATACAAATTTCATTCACAATATTAGAAATATAAATCTTTTTGTTGGTAGTTTATTTTGCAACATTAGTAATGAATATAATTTAATTAAAAATCGTATATCACAAATAATTAATTTACAACAAAATCTTAAAAAGATTTTAATAGATGATCGTAGTTTTCCTTTATATCGACCATTATTATTATCAAAAGATTCTAATTGTTCAAATACCTTAAATACAATTACATTCTATAAAGTCAATTTGAATTGTTTGAGTAAGAACATATTTGAACAATTAAATGTTTTAGAATCTATTCATTTCCTTCATTGTTATTCTTTAAGTAATAATTTTATTCAACAAATTATTAATTTGGCAAAACCATTTAAATTGAAATCTTTATTTATAGAAGTGAAACCACAACAATTTGAATCATTAGAATTATTATTACAAAAATCTGGCGATTACTTAGAAAATTTTGGAATTGTACTTAATCACGGTCTTGAAATTGTACTTAATATTCGTCCATTATATGAACAATTTTTAGTATTAATTACAAAATATTGTAAAAATATCAAATTTTTTGATTTTCATGGACCTGAAAGTATGAGTACTTATCAAATACTCTTATTGGTTAAAAATGTCAAACAAAATCTCAATTATCTTTCAATCAATATATGGTATGATAACAATGGTACTGGATGTAGTTCAATGGTATTATCAAATTTAGGATATTACCTTCCTTCTAAACTAGAATATTTATGTTTTGATCTTTATTACATTAAAGCAAATGAATTTGAGGAATTTCTAAAAAAATCTCAAAATACTTTTATTAAAAAATTATTAATCAATAGCATTGAAGGTCAAGATATCTTGCCTTCTATAAAAAAATATATCATGAAAAATAAAAGGGTTAAGTATTTGGCTATTAGTGATTCTTCCTGTGAATATACATTTGGTAGTTATAGTCATAATATTAAGGAGTTGTTTTCACTGAAATATGAGGTGGATGAATTTAGGTTATATAATATCGAAGTTCAAAGTTATTTGAATTTAAAGATTGACTCATATAATTATATAAAAGAAATTAATTAATTGTTTGGTAGTTAATAGGGATATTCTTTCATATATAGTAAAGTTGTTTAAGTATTCCTGTTACATTTATATATTTATGTTTATATATATAAAGTATTAAACATTCTTTATTTGATATAGTTTTGTTTAATACTGATTATAGAATATATGTAAAGTTATTTACTTATTTTAAATAAAGTTATTGTGATTATTAGGAAATTTTTTATTATTTTTATCAAACAAAAAATCCGAAATCACTGATATAAACAAGCATGAATTTTTTATCCTAAATTTGGTATTTGAGACGTAATAATTTATGCATATTATACTTATTATATATGTCATTATACGTACTTTATTTGTGATTTACCAATCAGTGTTATTTTTATACACACAGCGTACATTACTCTTATATAATAGACCAGGATGGATTGATTTAATATCAATAAATCTTCTATAATATATAAATAATTAATTTATTTTAGAAATTATAAAGAAACTTTAATTATTTAGATACACATTTATAATATTCATTTTTATAAGTTATTACTTAATCAATATTTCTTTATAAAATAATTAAATAATTAACGCCAATAAATAATTCCAGATTTTTTGTTCGTGAATATGTTTATAAAATTGGTTTCTCCTTTCAATGAAGGCGAAGTGTTGCTACATTTTTTTACATTGTGCCATTTTTTAAATTTACAATTGAAAAGTAGAATTACATTAGATTAATAATTTGGAAATACGAAATTCATATTTTTTTTTAAAAAAAAAAGATAAAATAAAACAAAATAAAATAGTGTTAATAAAACTTTGTACTGGTGTAAAGAAATCCTTCCTTAATTTATTAGATTCACAGCCACAAGTAAATAATACAAACACCTTTATGCTAAATAATAAGCATTTTGAATTTCAAAAGTGAATTAGTATCATGCAACTAAAATATTTACTATCAATGTAAATAAAGAATATTTTCCTCTGTTATTAATATTAATAAACAGAATTCTTTTAAAAAACTAGGAAACGGAAACAGTTATTAATGTTATTTATTTTATTTCGAAGAGAGGAATAACCAATGAAAAAAACATAATAGAAATTAACAACTACAAGTAGCGAAAAATCAATCTATTATGGTTATCAATCCCGCATAGCAAGACCTCACCCTCCGTGCGGCACTACTCTAACAGTAAAACTACGTTACTGATAAAGACCAGAAAAAAAGAAAGGAAAAAAAAAATAAGAACTCTATCTAAAAAAAAGAAATAAAATTAATAATATATCAGTAGCTATTGTTAGAGGTTATGAACTTTGTCCGTTGGGCTTATATAGAAAATAAAATATTATTAAAAATGTAAGAATGAAAAATAGATAAATCATTATCTAGAGTCGATAACCATGGCAGGTTATGAAGGAAATTTGATGAAGTTAGGTAAATCCATAATATATTACTCTCGGTATGTCATTTTGAGTCGTTGAGAGGGCATCGGTAGCCATTAATTGTATTGAGATTATTAAAATCGGATTGGTGTACTCGTCTATATGAGTCACGTGGCTAATTCTTATGATAGTTACTAAATGATTTTTTTGTGATGTCATGGTCTCGTTTGAATTGTTTCCATGATATTGCTCTTTGCTTCCAGATTTTAGGAAACGGAAACAGTTGTAAGTCCAGAGCGAAAAAAGATTAAATAGGATGATATCACGTGAAGAGACAGAGAAATTCACGTGATCGACCATTTTTCATAGTGCCTACGCAATTAACGCAAAACCAGAAGCAGAACCACAAGATTCTTATAAGATGACTTTGTTTGATTATAATATTGATATTTATTGCTTTGGATCCTATATTTATAAATTTGTCCAAATAAAAAATTTCTTGATAAATCTCAATAATGAATTTATTCCTAAGTCCTAACCTGGAGCGAGAAATTTTAGAATAATTAGTATTTTTTTTTATATCTCCCAAATTTTTGGTTTACTAATTTTTTTAAATTTTCGCTAAACATTTTTTTTTTTACAAAAACCATTTATTAAAATTATGAAATTCATTTGCTAAGTATATAAAGTTATGCACTTGGAAGGTTTTAAAAATTAGTTATTTAAAAATTTATTGACACCTATTCAAAACCAAAATTTTTTTAATTATTAATTTTTAATAACTAGTAATAATGATACAAAAAGAGAAACTTGACAATGACAAATGAATAAGAGGGAGAAAATGTGCTAATAAATTGATGAAATAATGGAATAGAAAAATGGTATATGAATAATGAAAAGAATAACCAGAAACAAAGAGAGATGAGAAGAAGAAAAACGAAAGAAGTTAAAAAAAATGGAGATGAAAAAAAAATGAAAAATAGAAAATGAAAAATTAAGAAGTACCAAGTAAATAATGGAAGCCAATAAAGATTAAAGATGAGACTACAAAGATTAGGGAAATAACCACATAATTTTAAGATCAGTTATAAAGTTTTAGAGTAAAAAAGAGAAATCCATAAATTAAAAAACAAATTATAGTTAGTAAAAAATGAAAAAAGCAAAGATGAAAGCAAAAAAAAAGAAAAGAAAAAAATGGCCTACTTTTGACGCAAAACCAGAAAACTTAGAGATCTAAAAATAAAAAGAAAGAGAGAAATTAGAAACGAAAAAAAAAAATGTAAATAATGAAGAAAAAAAAGAAACAATATACAGTACCTTTGATGCAAAACTGGTATTTATTATCACTCAACATTTCTCTTAGACCTTATCCCCATATTAACATTCTACGTATTTCATTTTCATCTATGATCACTAATATCATGTTATCTCTGTTCTTCAATAACTTTTTACCTTATTATTTATTTCTCTTGATTTATCT